AGGGAGGTGATTGACCAGACCGGATTAGGGTCGGCAGATACTGATGCGTGCACGCTAGCAGCCGCGATAGGCAAATGATTGAACGTTGCATTTGCAGTTGGTTCTCTACACCGGTTTGTGAAGGTAAAGAAGATTTCAAGCCTCAGTTTCGAACAAATGCGATTTAAAGGCAAGAAGACCGCTCAAGTTACCGTCACAAACAAATTCGTTTGGTCTGAACTATTTGACAGTTGATGTGACGTTATTTGGCGGTGGACGAGTGGATGTGTTGCCCCACTCGGAGAAGTAGAAGCAAGGACCCCTGTTAATGCTGTTGGCCTCTTCGTATTTCAGTGCTACGTTTCGTCACCTGAATAGACGCACCCGTGGTCAGAAGTTATGTCAGAAGATAGTCAGTCAGTCGGATATTCTTCATATGTCAAGATACAGTCCGGATAACTCGGTGTGGTTCTACAGAAATAAACAGTAAGAGTAACAGTGCACGATAGGTAGAATAATGCGAGGGTGGACGTACATTCGAGGTGCTTAGACGAGCAGTCGTGAATGACACAGACGCGTTGCTGTCAGTTTATAAGGAAAAAGTACACGAGGCAAGAATTAAAGAACGAGTGAGCGAATAAGAACACACTGCGGGGAACAAAGACCGTGGGGCGGACGAACAGAGGCAATTCTGTGCCGGAAAGGGGGAGTGATTTGCAAGCGTTTGAGGTCAGCGGTGATGACAGCTGTAATCGAACCAGAGGGGGAGGGGGGCGGAAGCATTGTGGGGAAAAGGTGATTAAAAGGCAAGAGAGCAGCCGAACGGGGGATGGGGACAGTATTCAAGTACCACCTAAGTGGTACTTGACCGGGGGACTAGTTTTAACACCAGTGTGCACTCGACTGGAAACAAAAGGGTCAACAGGAGCAAAATTGTTGGAGGAAGGGGATTCGGGCACGCAGTTCAGAGCAAATGAAATCCGAAGATGACATTGACGTGATTAATGTCACAACCCCTGTTGATAATAGGGGTTTATGGGTGGGGCTAGTGGAAATAGTGAGCGGAATGCTCTAAGGATTAATGCCAAAAAGTGTTTTTGAGCCACAGTCTTATTTAACTAAACCAGTGACCAATAAAAACGCTATCTCGTTATTTTAAGGACTTTATTACTTAGTTTAATTACATGCAACTGGAACAGGGAAATCATTTTAGACAGCCAAAACACGATAGGTGCGTCTGTCAAAAACAAACGGAGGTATAACGGGTAGGCATCGGTTATAGGTATCACCAAAGCGCCAGAGTTATATTTTACAGAACCGATGATAAAATAAAAGCTAGTCCTTTCGCATTTAGAAACAGCATCCCCATTGAACTATATATTTGAACATGAATCAAACGTAACAACAAATGAAAACATTTATTATCTCTACATTTCCTTTGTATGAAAGGAGCAATGTATATATTATGTAGAAAGTATCATTAAAATACTGCTTCCTAGTAGACCAGATGCTTGCTTTTAGTTGCTATCTCTACATATAAAATAAATAATTGATGCATTATCAAGGTTATCATATTACAAATTTATGGGGTTATGTACTGCTATGGTGATATTTATAAGGGTGGGCCTCTCCGATATGTATTAATAGGCTACTTTCATGGTCTTTAATTAAATGTACTTTCAAGGAGATTTACCAAAATTGCCACAAGTTGAAAAAGTACGGCGATCACTTGATTCCCCTCCTCCCCCTTCCTGCCGGACTTGAAGGATGGTTTGCAAGGGTTCATTTTCATCATCTGTGTACAACAGTATAAGATCTAGGTCCATCTAGCCATCGGTCGACGTCAGCCGTCAGTGTATGAAAATTTTCGTTCAAATGTGCCCACATTATGGTCATCCACAATGAGAGACGCTCTGAAAAATAAGCCTTTTCTGATTTTAAGCAACGCAGGAAAGACAACAGAGAAAATAAAAACTGAATTAGTGTATCGTTTGTCTGTGTACTCTATCAGTACGTTTTGTAAAAATAAAAACACTTGACTACTGAGATGTATTTGCTTTCTCTTGAAAGTAACTCTACAAAACTGCAAGCGAAAATCACACATAAATACAGGAAGTTGGCATGTCGATATACGGCAAGAGATATGCCGGACGCTACGGTGTATGGGATGTAGACTTCAGTAATCAGTAGATAGAATGTCTATCCTCGTTCAAATTGGATGAGCAAACGTTTGACCATTGCAGCATTTTGGTTAATTATGATTTAGTAAAAACTTCATAAGAAACACTGGCACCAGAAGGTAGTATTCGAAGGACGCGTTTTAAAATAAAGATATCGTTTTTATTCCTGTTTGAAAAGCCAATTAGGCAAATGCTCCTTAGCTCCATACCCAGCTCAGTTTATTGACAAATGTAGGCAACCCTTACGACCCAAAAGGACGGAATAGTTAACTCCAAAAAGTCTGTTTTCGTTTCCTTGCCCTTTAAGGGCGATAAAATATTCAACACCATCAATAGACGCTTGCTTAACGCCATTAATATAACTTATTATGCTGCAGAGCTCATACTTTGTTCTCCAACTGAGGCCTTACCAATCCCTGGTGCGAAGGATGCCTTGCCATTGCACGCCACTTCCAAGTGTGTCTATGAATTTACATGCACTTGCGGATGCAAGTACATAGGGCGAACGCAAAGACAACTGGCAGCCAGAGCTAAGGACCATTTGCCTAGTTGGTTTTTCAAACAGGAACATAGAACGCCTCGTTCCTTCATTACCGAATATCGTTTTTAAGCAAAGCAGGAAAGTCGATAGGAGGAAAGTAAAGAATGAGAGGGAGAAGCAGGCATTTAAAAAAACGTTACAAGGTAATGAGAGTTTTGAGAACAGAATAACACTCAGGTATCTGAAAGATGATACGTCATTGAGAGGAGGGTCAACGGATTCGGTGACGGTAAATGGTCGCATTTGAAACACACACCAGACTCGTGTCTAATTATTAAGAGGAGAAGACCATTTTCCAACGACTATACAGGTACGTAATCCAAACTGGGTAGGATTATGTCGTGGGGTCGTCTGGGGAAAGTGTGAAGCGCGCCCCGCGGGCTAACGTACACCTGATTTTCGGGGAGAGGACGGCCGGGACATGTCAGGGAACAAATTAGGTCCCAATATTTTTGTTAATTAAAAAAGTTACGAGGGCAAGTTTAAACCTTGGGAGAAGACACTGAAGGTAGCTTTAATATCATCGCTAACCCCCCGCCCGACCAACGGCGAACGCGTATATGGAGGTGGAGTGTGCCCAAGCCTCGGGCGAGGTAATTGAGAGACATTTTCCACTGGTATCACCAACACCAACTAGGGAAAAGTTTAAAGAAGAACAAAAGTGTCGAGTATTATGTAATCACCCTACTTAAAAATTGTAAGCAAGCGATAATTCCCGTGGTTAGTTCAAAAGGCCAACTTTTCTTAGTTTGCCGATTATAGCAATTATGGAATGCGGTTGCCTTCGAAGAACCGCTCTGCAGTTCAATGCGATCAGCAAATCCCAGCTGGATCGATAGGTGGCGTGGAGAAAACCGGAAGATTATAAGTAACTCAATCTACTGAACATTTGTAAGTAGTTTGTTATTATAGATATGAAAATATACGACCCCACGACATTATCTCACCCTAAACTGTTATAACCTTGGGTGTGCCTGCGTCGACACTGGTTATATCCCCCAGTTGCGTGTAAGGAAAGGAAGGCAGACAGGATAGCAGATAATAGTTTTCTATCACTGCTTCTGCTTATACATCAACTCTGTCTTCTGTGTGTCCGGCAGCTTGTCCTGTGTCCGTCAGCAGCGTGCGTTCTGTCATCGTTCTCGTCTCGGCCAACAGCAGATCTCGGCAACAGAGTTTCTTGTCATTAGCAGCAGAATCTCGTGTCTCCAGCAGCAGAGTGCAGCCCCCAGCGGTGGCAGCGTATTTAAGAGCCAACGGCCTTTGTTCCCTATTGGCCTCTGC